AATGTGCTTTTTCAATAAAACTTTATTTATACAAGGGGCCAGATAGGATTATGAGCAACAACTTGCTGTACCTTATTTTAAACCAGTACTGTAATTTTTCGACTCAAGACTCTATTTCATTCAAGAAATTTTCAAGTGACCCCCAATATAAGTTATGAAATAGATATATAAATCAAATACTTACAGAGAATAAGTCATAAGGAACTTTATTTTAGAACAGTTCTTTGAAATACACCTAATTTTATCATTAATTAAAAACAAAATCCAAACTTCTTATGTAAAAGATGGTGTGCTTGTTTATTTTTACATTAGGATTAAATCTTGGCTCAATATTGGATGTGTTAGCATTGCAACACCTTTTGGAGTTGGGTAAGATACTGACTTTATAATCACTAAGGCCATTTTGTACAAATACATAGTCCAGTATGACAGAAGACACTTAGGGGCACCTCAGAAATTTCTAGAATTCCTGTTCTCAACATTGATAACTGTTTTCACCCATTTTATAGCTTTATTTTAACTTGTGCTTACTTAACTTGTTAGTTTTTTCTTTTTATTGTTTTGATTGAGCTATATATTTTTCCCACACCTCTCTCCCCTTCTACCCTCCCTCTGCCCTCCATGCTCCCAATTTTCTCAGGAGATTTTGTCTTTTTCTCCTTTCTAAGTGGATTCATGCATGTCTCTCCAAGACTCCTCTTTGTTGTCTAGGTTCACTGGGGTTGTGAGCTGTAGCCTGGTTGTCCTTTGCTTTATGTCTGATCACCACTGACGAGTGAGTACTTACTGTATTTGTCCTTCTGGCTCTGGGTTACCTCACTCTGTATGCCTTTTTCTAGTCCCATCCATTTGTTTGCAAATTTCAAGGCGTCATTTTTTTTTTTTACGGCTGAGTAGTATTTCATTGTGTAAATGTACCACATTTTCCTTATTCAGTTTTGAGTTGAGGGGCATCTAGGTTGTTTCCAGGTTCTGAATATTATGACTAATGCTGCTATGAACATAGTTGAGCAAATGCCCTTATGGTATGATTGAACATCCTTTGGGTATACACCCAAAACAAACCACAGGCCCAAACTCACTTAACAATCTTTTACAAAACTGGAGTCAGCAATTTAAACAGTAATTTTGAAATCCAACATGCTAATACTAACATGGTAAGTTTAAAGATACGCTAATTTGATAATACTTTTGCGCAGAGGAATGATGGTAGGAAATATTAATTTTTCATCATTAAACCATTATGTCCCTATAACAGCAGAAAACATTGTATGTATAGTTAAAATATCATACTCCACAGCATACAGTAACCCAGAATCTGGGCAGAGATGTTTCAGACATACTTTGCTGGCTTTGAATGACCTCACATCTGTGTGCCCATGTCCCATGCTCAGAATTGAGGCTGCAGGGAAGTCACACGTGCAGCAGAGGTAAGCATCGCCAGAAATATCTGTGGCTTATTATATACTTATTTGGAATTAATTACTGGCCATTGTATATTCAGAAAACTTTTACCCTCACCACACTTTAAGGACTTCCACATTCCATCACACCACCCCACGTGGGGTTGTGACTCACAGCTTAAGAAGCCCAACTCAGGCTGAGGATGTGATTTAGTTGGTGCTTGCCCAGCATCCATGAGACCCTTGTTTCATCCTCCTCGCTGCATAAGCCAGGGGTGAAATCATGTGGGTGAGCGTGCATGTCTTCTATTCCAGCACTTGGGAGGTGAGGGAAGGAGGATTGGGAGTTCTAGGCAAGCCTGGGATATGACATGGTGCCTCAAAAAGAAGGAGAATGGTGGTGTGGGGAGGATGAAGAAGAGGTGGAGGATAAAAGGGAGGGGAGGAGAGGAAGGGGGGGAGAGGGAAGAGAAGGAGGAGGAGAAGGAGGAGGAGGAGAAAGAAGAAGGAGGGGAGGAAGAGGAGGAAGAAGAAGAAGGAGGAGGAGGAGAAGGAAGAAAGAAGAGGAAGAGGAGGAAGAAGAAGGAGGAGGAGGAGAAGGAAGAAGGAGGAGGAGGAGAAGGAAGAAAGAAGAGGAAGAGGAGGAAGAAGAAGGAGGAGGAGGAGAAGGAAGAAGGAGGAGGAGGAGGAGAAGGAGAAGGAGCAACAGCAGCAGCAGCAGCAGAAGCAGCAGAAGCAGTTGCCATGGTCACCAGGGCCTCCATGATGTAAGCCATCTCCCTACCCCACCAGTTCTTCTCTTTCCTTTCTCTCACCCCACTCTCCCCTTTCTCTAGAATATCCATTTAACACCCTTCAATTATCTTTCACTATTTCTACACTCTACAGTGTGACACCTGTGACATGTGACAACAGACTCCAAACTTGGTGGCTTTGTTCTTCCAGTGTGTGTGTGCTGCTTGGTGCCCAAGTCTCACAGACGTGTGTCACTTGCAGAAATCACTTTGACTGATATGTTTCCCCAATGCGAGGCTGATTGCTCTCTGAATTCCCCAGAGATGGGAATTTTAAGAAGTAATGATTGTATTCTATGTGAACAGCCCGGCGTACTCGCTGTGACGGCAGAGTGCAAACCACTCCTTACCCAGAACGTTCTAAATCAACAGTTTGGGTTTCATAGTAACTGAGATTAGACTCACTCTAAAGCAGGTTTGTCGCTCCCCCAATAACATTCCAAAGCGAGGTAGAAGTGAGTGGGAGAGAGCTGGCTCGAACCACATGCCACAACTCTGGGGCAGCATCTCAGCCACAAAGAGGGAAGGAATATCGGTAGGAAGCAAGATTTGGGGCTGCAACAGGTGAAACCCTGGGTATGCTGGTTTGAAGGATGCATATGTCATGCAGTGAGGATGAACTGTGACTGGCATGTGTGTGTGTGTGTGTGTGTGTACGTGTGTGTGTGTATGTGTGCGTGTGTACGTGTGTGTGTGTGTGTATCCATAGAAGGGGTCCTCCTCTTTTGCTCCCTACTTTATTTCTTGACACAGGGTCCCTTACTGAATCTGAAGCTCACCAATTCACCTAGCCTGATTGTCCAGCAAGGTCCAGGGACCCTCTGCACTTCAGTGCTGGGGTTAGAGGTGTGCACCACTGTACCCAGTTTTTATGTGGGTGCTAGAGATGAGAACTAAGGTCTTTCTGTTTTTCCAGCAAGCCCTTTATGCACAGAACATCTGCTAAACTCCAATATCATTTTCTCCGCCTCTTCCTTGCCCTCGCTCTCTTCTTACCTAGAATACCAGACTCTGTTGGCATTTAGTATGGAATCTGAGCTTGGCGGTCTCTCCCTCCTGATTGGAAAATGAAAGTTCATCCATCTATATGCTTAGCAAAGTTGTTCATCCAACCTGGAGGCTGAGAGCTACATCTTGGAACTTTTCCTCCAAGCAAAGTCAAGGTTAGTGTCAAAGTTTCCATAATCTTTAAAGACCTCTAAGTGAAAATAGAGATGTTGGTCTGGACAGACTCTAAATTTTAGAAACCTAAAGCTGGAGAAGTCAGAGGAAACCTGGCTCAGTCCCGATGGCCATTAGGCTCAGTCCTCATTACCATCACGTGAGAGTTCTGGGAAGAAAGGATCTGGCGCTTAGGCTGGTTTCTGGACGCCTCCAGAATGATGAGAGCCAGGAAGAAACTGGGTGGAGATGGTTGAGAGAAAGAATCTTTGGCAGCACAGGGCTAAGGAACAGATGTCGTGACTAAGACCTCTCCGTGGTCAGGGCCACTCAGTGGTTGCCCACAGTTGTCATGGTGTGATGTGGCCTCTGCCTTTGGATTTTCTGGCATGCAATGCCAGGAGGGAAAGACTTGCACTGTGTCAGAGGTGGGGGGAGGTCTTCATTTTACAGAAAGCGTTTTCTGGCTTGGTATCATCGACTATGGCTATGGTTCCTACTTATGTGTTTCCTCTGTCCTTGTGTTTGCTGAGCTGAGTGGAAATGACCCACAGAATCTTTAAGACATCCTCCCAAACCAGAGGGGATGGATGGCCACAACCCACACCCTTGGCCAACGTGAGCATCTCCTTACCAAGCATTGTCTGTGCAGACTACTACAGACGAAACTTTTAAAACGACTTTTGTGGGAGCCTATGCTGTCGGGAGAGCAACTGACAACCAGGTAGAAAACCTCTGGCTTGAAGTGGGAGTGAGGAGAGAAATTTTGGGGTGCCATTATCCCCATCGTCCTAGGTGGCCGTTCTAAAATGTACAAATGAGAATGTAAGTGGGACCAGGAGATCATCTCTCTAACTTACACTGTACCAAACTGAATGGAGTGGGGACCGGCTCCTCCAGAAGGTTCCCAACCACATACATCAAGGGTCACCATGGGCAGGGTCATAGAGCATGTGCCAAGGACCAAGAGTCTGACACCTGCTGAATGGCTTCCTTCAAAGATAAAATCGTCTACTGAGTAACAATCCCTGCAGATAGGAGGCTTTCCAAGGCCACAGTGAAAATATCCCAGCATGTGTTTCCAAGTAGCCTGACCCAAGCTCAGTGCTCAGGGGTCATAGGTCAGGAAGTTGCTCCTAACCATGGTCAACTCTGGTCACCTGTGGCCACCTCTACTCAAAGCCAACAATCCTGATTATCCTCCCCCCTTAACTGAACACCCACTTAGCATGCCCCATCCCCACCTCCACCCTGGCTGCCCCCACCCTACCCCGGGCAACTGTGGCAACTGGTAGCTACGTATCTTCCTCCAAACAGGAGACACCAGGGCACTGATTTCAACACTTTAAGTAAAAAAGAGTGTCCCACCTAGTAACCACCAACACATCAACTGTTCACTCTGCAGAAAGGTCACACGTAAAAGCTTTGGGCAAAGATCCTCCGGGCATCTAAGAAGGGCACACCCCAACACAGAGGACAGGAAGGAGCTGGGTTCCAAGGGAGCCTCCTCCCATGAATGAGTTCAGATCCTCCTTCTATCTAATGCCAACCCCTGTGTGATCATGAAATAGTTACCCAGCCTCCCTGAACCTTATCATATGCATTTATAAAATGAAGTGAGCCAGGGTTTTTAACTTGGTTGGCGGAAGCAGATAATGACATGAAGTGTCAGGGCTGCTTGCTTCCAGAGGGTTCTTCTGCTCAGTCTCTAAATGTGAGTCTTCTTTGCCTGGGAGTTTCTGATCAGGATGGGGGAGAAAGGGAGATGTGTGTGGAGGGAACCCAGTCACTAGGAGCCAAGACCAACTCACTGGTGACAGTGACAGCTGACAGTGCCCGGCTGATGAGAGGGCCCCTCTAAGGAGGCTGATCCTCCTTGAGAGAGTACTGTAATGGACTCCGCTGGCCCACCCCGCACTTCAGAAGATGTGTCACTGCCCAAAAGAACAAAATAAGCAAAGTGCAGCAACTGAACACTATTTTTATCTTCGAGCAGCGGCTGTTCTCGTGCCCCAGGCAGAGCTGCTGCGTCAGGGCCCAAGGCAGGGAGATGTTTCTGCAGAATGTGGGGCAGCTTGAATACCAATGGGGTTGCTGGAGCTGTGTTGCCAGCCTTCAAGGGCTTCCAGGGGACCTGACCCAGGAGAGGGCACTGAGCAGGGCTGTCCCTGGCTGCCCTAGGGACAGAGACTCAGCCCCACACCCAACTGCTCCAGGGGACAGTCTTGTCTCATCTCTGCCAGGCTCAGGATTTTCCCAGAGCCTCCTTTCCTTAGTCGCGCGTACCCTCCAGCTCCGAGCCAGGATCTATGACATCTGGGCTCCTTCTGTAGTGGCCATTGCTTCACTTATTCAACCAAACGCCAGAATCTTTGTGATGTGGTAGACAGCGGGCATCAATTTTGTTTTGTAAAGGTGTGGTCGGAGGGACCAGGAGACAATCATAAACTGCACAGACGAGCCTCTTTTCCTCGGGGAACTTCAATTGTGTGGGGAGACAGATATGCCAGGCACCATGAATGATAGACATGTGAAGAGAGTGAACAGGGCATAGGGCAGGCAGGAGGATGCTGAGGTTTTTAAAAGTGGTCAAGGCCAAGTCCTTGGATGGGCAGTATGAGGCTTAAGCAAAGACTCACAGGGTTAATGACCTGGCTGTGTGGCTATGGGGGACAAAACACTTTTCAGAGAGAAGGCAGTGTTACGGCCCCAGGATGAGACTGTGTCGGGGAAGTCAATGAGGTGGGGATAGGAGAGATGCATTCATGGATTCAAGGGGAAATGGGGAAATCACATTGGTCCCTTCCAGAACTAGGGCTCTCAGCAGAGGAGGCTTTGTCCCTATGCAGGAGCCATGTCTGGAGTGACTGCCTTTGTCACTGGTAAGCACAGCCAGTGCCCAGAGAACAGAGACTAGAGTGAATGCTTTAACCTGGTTGGTGGCTGCAGGCACAGACAAGAGGGTTGGGGCTGTTCTGTTCCCCTGAGCCAGGAGAATGGCCAGCTTCACGGGGCAGTGAGCGTGGGCACGGACCGTGGTGAGAACAGCAGCACTGGGGCGCATGTTGGGATTGTTGGTTGAGCAGACGAACCTGTGTGCTTATACCTGAAGTCAAAGGTGGTGAACCAGGAGGTACCTCAAGTCCTGGGGAACTTGTTCACCGATGAACAGAGTTAAGGGGGGAAGAAAGCAGGTTTCTCTTCCCACGAGGAACTCACAGCTCTGAAATGAACTATTTTACGTGCAACCACGAAGCGTGCCAGTTGTCTCTTGGCTGGGTGACAGCAAAAGTCACTTCTTGGAAAGCTGGCTGTGGTTCCATGGAGAAGACTAGGGAGCTTACAGGGGACAGAGCCAAATGGAGGAACAGTGAGTAACAAGGCCCGGGGGTGTGGCACCCTGGGACAGCATACTGTTCTCCCTTATTTTCCCATGTGACAACCGGGGGAGGGATGGGGCCCTGCGTGTGCTTTCCTGGGTGGGGTCACCACTGACCTCCAAACCCTAGAACTCTCCAGCCTTGCCTCAGCTTCCCACGGGTGATGAAGGAGAAGAGGATATGGGTGATGAAGAAGAGGATAGGTTCCCATCCCTGCCTCTGTGAATGACCAGAGGCTAATTTATTAGCCCCAGCCCCATGGGGATATAAATTAGATGCACCATATACAAGCTACCAATATTACACCTTGAGGTGGGTCCTCATCGCCAGCAGCAGCTGGGGTGCCATCAGCCTGAGAAGGGCCCCATGGGTGGCTGTCGCACATCAAAACAGAGCATGCTCTGCCGCGGATGTGGCCTCTTTTCTCCAAGTCAAGAACCAATCCACCATCCCTAGCATTCAGAACGCACAGAGAACTGGGAGATGATCAAGGATGGAGGTCATGCACTGCAGCCTGGAACCAAACCTGGGCATACACCCCATTCCCTTCACGCACTGGCAACATGGAGTAGTCTGGTCTCTACTTCGGTTTCCTTATCAGTAAAACCGGCTCAAACACATGTCCTATACATGTAGTCACTTGACTGAGGTCTCTGACTCAGCATGTAGAGTCAAGCCCTGTGACTCCCAGCAATTCAGCCCTCCCCCCTGCATGATCCCTCACCCCACGTGTGACACCAGCTCCTCCCCATGTGGTTGTCTATGGCTCTAAGTTCATGTCACATGAATCTAGGTTTTTCTTCAGTTGGTGATCCAGTTCCCTGCTGGAGAAGCTTGGCAAGAGGAGCATTAAGGGATGTGCCAATCACCCATTTCTTGTGCTAAGGACAGAGAGAGGAGGCAAGGTGAGCCTTGGCCACCCAGGTGGTATCCTGTGTCAGGTGAGTGGTAACAGGTCACCTCCGTGTCCAACCACTCAGCATATTTGAACTAGAAGAGCAGTTGCCAGAGCAGGGTAGAGGACTGAGACAGATCTTCCTCCTCCCCCAGTGACAGCCAAATTCCCACCCAGCCCTGTCCACCCATGACTCTGCTTGTAAGAGTTCACAGAGCAAACCTCCCAACTACGCTGACTTAAACACTGTGGCTGTTTTAGTCACTGCTGCGCTGCAGAGAGGAGCTCAAATCGCCCTCTAGGAATTGCCAGCGTCCCTTCCTCCTTGTGGCTCCCTGATGGAGGTCTCTGTATGGCGAGGCACACTGTGCCGTGGAAACCCCATTGAAGGGGTACAGAGAAAGGGGGTTGGGTTCGTTCCCCACAGGCACTGAATATGGACACGCCCCTCTGCCCCATCCCAGGAGGTACAGAGAAAGAGGTTCCTTCCCCAAGGGCATTGAATATGGACATCCCCCCACCTCCGCCCCACCCCAGGAGGTTTCCCTGGCTGCCATATGACAGGCAGGACTTAGCAGAAGTGGCCAGGAAAGGCCATTGACTGTGACCTAAGATCTTTAAAAAGCTAAAGAAAGACCAGTCACAGGAAAGCCTACCCCCAACCCCCACCAACACACACACCCCCATCCTCTCGGATTGACCTTTTCAGCCCCATTTCAAAACTGGTCCCAGGCAGCAAGGATGGAATCTGGATGCCCTGTCTTTCTGTTAATGAGATGAGATTGAAGTTCAAATACACACTGTGGGGAGCCTGGTAGGAAAATACCAGAGGACAGGAGGAGAATCCTGGTACCAGCTGATAAGAGGTGGGGGTGGGAGGTGGGGAACCTGTCACTAGAGCTACCTCTACCATGTCAGGAGGAACCTGCAGAAGGGAGGAGACAGCGGCATGGCATTGACCTTGTACTACCAGGCAAGTGTCTTAGCTTTGAGAGGCATTTCCAGTGTTCCCAACAAATGTTCCTTATTGTGCGGATGCCTGGGGGCTGGGCACTTTGCTTCCTGGGCACAAGCACTGAAGCAATAGGTAGGTCTGGGTGGCAGGCTGTTTAACAGAGCTCGTCACGGCACAGGACTGGAGACGCTGCAGTCTCGTGGGCGGCGAGCTGGTTAAATAAAGGAAACCATGCAAATGAGTGTGGGAAACAATGCAGCTGTTAAGAAAAATGAGGTGTTTGGCTGTGTGCAATAACAGGAAGTTCAGAATATAAGCGAGAATTTGCATGGTAAGAGCAAGATGCATTACAGCCAATGTAGCTCCCATTACCAGTAATGAGGACTAGACAGATGTGTAGTCTAGATCTCTCCCAGAATCAAACTAAGATTGCCTCTCACTGGCTGTGTGACTCTGGAGAGTTTAACTAATTACTCTGGGGGTCACCTTCTTCATTTACTTCCTGCCTCTCACACACTGCTTCCTGTCTCTCACAGTTTCCTTCCTCTTGCACACTGTTTCCTGTCTCTCACACACTG